TGTTGATGGAAATGGCAATGGAACATCGCCTCTTCTGTCACAGTTGTTTTTGTCAGACAAGAGTGTTCTGAAAAAAGGATGACACACAATTGACAAGGATTGTTACTTGGAGAAAGAATTAACGAGTATTGAAGAAGTTGTCACAGTTACTCTGTCAAACGAAAACTGACTCTTTTCTTACGAGTTCCGTGGCTTAGCTACTTTTTCACTACATCAGTTCTGCACACTCTGAGTCGAACCTTGAAAAGTTCAAAACGCTTTATCTCAGCTCCATTAGCTTGTCGTAACAAGCGCGGCGGCGTCTGCGATAGAAAAATCATTTCACAACAGCAATTTAGCGGGAATTTTTACCCATCCAGGAGCTGTGCGATCTTTCGTTTACGCTCCCAACTAATAAAAAAGTTGATCATCGACTCCAAGGACTTTGCATGAAGAAATGAATGTTTGGTCGCAGAGAAGAAATTCGCCGCATTTTTGGAGAAATTAAGACATCTCGAGCGCCAGGTAAAATGTATAATATCTTCCTTTGAAACGGCCTTCAAAGAACATCAAACGCCCGGTTAAAGAAGACAAGGCGCCAAATTCGAAGTAATTTGGCGGCAATGTGTCAACACATATTTTTGCGGTGTTAATTTTGCGTAAGAAATCTTAAGACATAAATACAGAGGCACTTTAATACATTAGATAAAAAATAAATATCGCGTTACTTGTACTTTACTGTTGGATTTCAGCCACTACCTAAAGGACTGCGCCTTAAATGAATATTTATTAATTAAAATATTCTGTTAGATAGAAAAAGGAGGGAATTTTCATAGATTCCACTCGTGCATTAAACATTCCCAATAAAATCCCGAGTAGCGAAGCGAAGAGAGAATTTATGTGGAAATTTCCGAAGTACGAGTGGTATTTAATAACACTATTCCACGAATGAAATTACCTCCAAAAAGGTGTCGGAACGCAACAAAAATTAATTATACTGAGTTCGCAGTCAAAGTGCACGCTACAGTACATACTATGATTGATGTATCGCATCTTGTTATTGGACAGTAGGGTGATTGTAAGGAAAATAGACACTCTTTGGGAGAATGCGCTATCTTGAATCGTACATAACGAATGTATAGCTCAACGCTTTTAGTGATACCTTAACTAGTGGAATTGTCTTTGTAATGTATTTCCACCCTTACCTTCCCTGCCCCGCGTGAACTCGTCCTGTCTTTGTTTCATCTAGAACCGTGATACGTGTGCTTCACAAAAAGCCTCAAAACGTAGTACCACAATTGTAGGCCATAACAACGAAACACTGTAGACAAATGCTTCCAGCTCGTGACCTCCTTGTGGAGAGTCTGAAGAAGCTGAAGAGTCTGGGGATTCGGCAGAGGAGCCACTGCAAAGATGGAGTATGAATTGAGCGGTGCATGGTCAAAACTGAAACGATTAAAGAAGTGAAAGGGTGTGACATATATGCGTGTGTATGTATGTTTGTAGAGATGCATGTAGAGTTGTACAGATGTATTGTAGTATACTTCTGGGAAACGTCTTCCTTCTTGAAAAGTCTACTTACTTAAGTATAAATCTGCTTACCAAGCGGGCCTTCAGCAGCGGGTTACGGTACATTTGTTGTCATTTAAATTGTAATTGCATTCGATTACATATAGAAATTTATTTGTTAGTAAATACAAAGTGAAAAGACACATCGAGCGTGCGCCAATCATTGCGAGCCATGGGCCTGCGGGGGGAGGGATAGAGATGTAGGGTGAGAAGGGACAGGGTGGGGCAAGGAAGGGTGTTTTCGGGTGACACGAGGGAGCTTTCGTAGGGTAAGGCGTGCTGAGTGCGGACGGGATCTAGAAGGGAAGGAAGGTGATACAACAAATGAAAACATTAATGCTTTATTTCAGACAAACATATTCGTGTGATTAAAGAATATCCAGAATGTTAGATACGTTAGTTAGTCGCAAGTAAATTACGTATTGCGCTCTAATTTTTTAAATACAATTATAGTACTTTATGTGTATTCTAAAAAATAAATTTGACAATTTCGTAGTTACAATTGAAACATATTTTTTTTTTTAATTTAAGGTTGTATTAACATCTAGGCGACCCTATATATTAACGATAGGGTTAACAGTATGTTATATAGTGATGGTGAGGGGTGAAAGGACGACCGCAAAAAGAACCTGCCTGTCGTGAGACTCGAACCCACGATCCAGTCTGAGATCACAACGGCACTATTGCCTTAACGATGTCGGCCATCTAAATGGAAACATTTTTGATTTGCATTCATATTTATGCAACAGTGAATCAACATTCTTTTTTTGTACTGAACATAATTTCACTTACGCTTGCGTTTTTTTTCATTTAAGTACTTAAGGGCATAACCGTCATTCACTAGGGGTTTACTTTCACAAACGTATCAACGTGAATATGAAACGAGGCGTAATAGAAATGCAGAAAACAATGCCCGGAATTTCATTGAATATAAAAATTGAAGACCGCATTAGGTAACGGAGTAAGAATAGGGGTCAGCATCGTCTTAGGCAAAAATACCCCAATCGTCCCTCCTTCGATGCGTCAATCAAGGTTCGTTTGAAAGGAGGAGAGCGGTGAAAGGGAGACGAGGCTGTTCCCAACAAACCTAATGACGGGGAAAATAAGACTTCGTTCACGGCAAGTACGAAGTCTTTCCGCTCGTAATGAAAAATGCCCGCGCCCGTCCACGCCTCAATGCTTCTCAGAGTGGTGATTAACTGCCATTGTAATACATTGCCTCCGACAAGTCAATACTCCCCGTTCAATGGGAGCAAATAGAAGTCCTTCGACAGGAGTTTAAGCGGTTTCCCCTAAGACGACGGCGAGCTGAAGGCAAGAGGGGCCGGGGGGGAGGAGGAACGGGAACCACTTAGCACTGAAATTCGCCGTCCTGTCTGTCCCTGCTCCATTGCTCACAGCAGCCCAATATTGGATTAAGTACGGACAACTAACGATAGTTGAATGTATGCGTGGATATTTGTATCACATGCGACATTCAAAAGTCTATTATCATTCCTAAAGTGTAACGATAATACATTTAAGTTGATTTATAAAACTCTAACAAATTACTTTAAATAATTCAAATCGGAACAAAAACTGAAGTTAAAGTAAAATATTTTCTGCTGAATAACAGTTTCTATACAATTATAGACTATACTAATCATCAAAAAGAAATAAATCATCTTTATTTTAAATATGATTTATAATGCATTAGTTTACATTTGTATTGTACAGTTAAAAGATACTAAATATGCCCTTAACATGTTAAGCACTTCAGCTTCCGGGTCAATTCCCCTTCGATATTTGTCCAGTTTTTCTAATCCAATGAGCAAATGCTGAGATGGCTCCCTGTTTTGCATCCGGGTTTGCTGCTTCACTATACGCACGGTTAGTTGACCTCTCCTATAACTTGTAGGGGTACGACTAAAGCCGGGGTGTGTTACTATTTTGTTAACTGCAAAAAAGATCAAATTTGCATTTAGTTTACCCATGCCAGCACCCAAGTTTTCTTAAGCTCAAGTCTGCACATATTACTTCTCCCCCGTATGTTACATGCAGTTTTTTCTGTTATTTGACTAAATAAATTAAATTAACGAAAATTAAATTAAAAAACGAGTTTATGACAAGTTTTAAGGAACAAAGGCTTTCCAAGGTATATGATCTGCGTGCATGAATGCACCTACGTCTGTGACACAAAACCGGTTGACAAAAGAGAAAATGTTCTGTGAAAAGTCACAAAATTATTTCAAACGCATAAAATTTCCTTTTGTGACATTATTTTAGTTTTTTGACATCCCACATTTTCCCTCTTATTCATATTTATGTTTCCATTCCCTACTCAATTTTCCTGCAACACCTCCACTCCGGTGTCTTCATGAATTTTAAACGAAAGTTGTCACAGCATCGCTGAGTGTTGTGAGAACTAGCATCGTGCCATCATGTCCAGTAGCAGACAGTCTACCTCACGTCATGGAGAGTTAGTGGATATTAGAGGTTGTTATAAATAATACATACCGCAATGTATCTTGCGCATTAAAAATGTCAGGTATATCTAACCCTTAAAAAGTACATGACACAACAGTAAATTTTTACATTTCTCCTAGTTTACCATTTTCAAACAATTATTCATATCCTTTGAAAATATATAAATATGCAAGTGTTACATACAATACTTAGTTTATTAATAGTTCAATTTCATAATCATAAAATTTGTTGAACTTGTGATGTGAAATGTTGGAGGGAAATTTCTGAAGAAACAATTTTTTAATTAAAAAAGAAATGTACGGTGCTATGTCTTGCACCTTCCATTGTCGATTGGTCCTCTTGGTACCATATCACTGCTCGGTCTCACACGGTATTCGGCGTCAACTGTCTGTCTCTCACCTAAGCACTTTTTTGGACGTTTTCTCGTTGGAGAACCTGGATGTTTGTTTTCTACGAGTGCCCGAATTTTCTTCCCACAAAGAGCCCAAGCACATCTCTCCTCTGAGAGCATACGCGATCCTCCTCCGAGAACATGTTCGCTTCTGCCTTTTGACCTCTCTTCTATTCACCTTCATCCGTTTCGCCCTTCTCCTGTTTCGTGACGTCAGTCTCATTGGTCCCCGCCTCGTATGATCTTCATCAGAGGTCGAAGTCTCTCAAATGTGGTGATCCCCGATAGTCGGTAAAATCCACGAGCGAAGTGAGCGAGAGTTAATTCCTGTTGTCTAGTGATTGGGTTCCACAACGCATTTGGCCAGTTTTGCACGGAGATTTCCTTGTGCGTACGCCAATGTGACAGCATGGCTGCTTGTCGGCCGCATCACCATATTGATCAAAAGATATTAATGATACAATAATTATTATCTTTAAACCAACCTGATTATGACTAAGACATTGTTCGTCATATCGTATATATTGTTTGGTAGTCCTTCAGTTTTTGACATTTCTAAAATTGACTTATAAAAGAATATTTGTTCTTGTTCCAGGCTGTGGCCAACGTACGCGAGTGCGCACAACAACTTGGGGACTTTGATGACGGCCACGGAGGACGCCGAGGGCCACTTTCTCGCCGCCATCCGCTACTCGCCCAACCACGTCAACGCGCACTACAACCTCGGCCAGGTCTACAGGTGGGTGGCACTTTTTTTTTTCTTACGAAAATCACTCGCCCAACCACGTCAACGCGCACTTCAACCTCAGCCAGGTCTACAGGTGGGTGGCACATTCATTTTTTACCTAAACCACTCACACAACCACGTCAACGCGCACTACAACCTCGGCCAGGTCGACAGGTGGGTCGCACTTCCATTTTCTTACCAAAAACTACTCTTCCAACCACGTCAACGCGCACTAAAACCTCAATGAAGTCCAGCGATGGGTTCCCATTAAAGTTGTTATCAAATACTCACATCTAAAATAACGTCAATGTTTATATACATGTGAGCCTGTGTGAAATAAAGGGAGATTGTGTGTGAGAGAGGGGGATTTAGACGTCGAATTTAAAACGTGAACATTAAAGCTAAATCTAAATCCATTCACTTTCTAGAGAAGATATAATCTTCATTTTTTTCTAGTACTGCTACGCTGTGTAACTCGCATTTAACAACAATATTAATTAATGTTTCAAAATAATTGAGTTTTAACGGAGAATAAGCTATTTGCAGAAACTTTTAATATATTTTAATATTTTTTAGAAAATATTATGTAAAATAGGCAGGCACAAATGCAATCTTTCAACACACTGTTTACTTTACTGAGTTTCTTAGTGTCGTTAGTTGATAACTAGATAGCGGTTCGTTCAGAAGCTATCAAACTATTTGAAAAGTCCAAGAATTTCTAATTACTCTGTTCTTGGCGCAATTCTCGAAACATTTTATATTGCATCTTACATTCTAACTCATTATATTACATTTTAGGGAGATGTGTTTATTGAATTCTTCCAGCCTGTGGTAAGAAATATCAGAAACTTGCGTAATTACTTTTACATGCAATGTAACGGGCAATTTGCTATTTTGTGATAGGAGATTCGCGTTTCGTTGCGAGTGTGTGCCCACTGGCGCGCGAGTATATTCTATTTCAACAAAGATTATTTCCTTCATACATTTTAATTATTACCGTAGAAACAAACTGATGTGACACGAAATCATGGGATATAATGTCGGACCTTCTTCTGTTCGACAAAGTGCAGCAACTGGACGTGTCATGGACTCAACAAGTTGTGATTCCTGCAAAAATATTGAATCATACTCCCTCAATAGCCGTTCGTAATTGCGAAAGTATTGTGGCTGCAGGATTATATACACGAACTGGCCTCTCAATTATGTCCCATAAATGGTCGATGAGGTTCATGTCAATAAACACCATTTACTGTTAATGATTGGTTCAGTTGGACCTCAGGGCCCAGTCCATTCAATATACTGACGTCCAACATTATTATGGAGCCACCACAGCTTGCACAGTGCCTTGTTGACAACTTCAGAACATGGCTTCGTGGGGTCTGCGACACACTCGAATTCTACCATCACATCTTACCAACTGAAATCGGGACTCATCTGACCAAACTTCAATTTTCTAGTCGTCTAGAGTCCTATTAATTTAGTCACGAGCCCAGAGGAGGCGCTGCAGACGATGTTGTGCTATTAGCAATGTCACTCGAGTAGGAGTTTTGCTGGTGCATCCCAATAAAGACACACTTCGCCGCACGGTGTTAAGGGCCACGTACATCGTACGTCTACATTTATATTTGCGGATATTTCCCGCAGTGTCGTTGGTCTGTTAGAAGTGTCAACATTTCACAAACACCGCATCTTTCGGTGATTTAATTAATGCTGTCGATCCCTGTGTTGTCTGTGGCCTGATCTGGACTATTATCACCTAATATATTATAGGTGAGCGTTACGTTTGTATTTTTGATGTAATAGTTCTCCATTCCCATCCATTTTCCTATCCATGGTTTGGTAGAACAGCAATTTAAAGGGATGATGATCTAATCTTTCCTATCACTTCAAAGAACAGGGATCCAGTGCCATTCAAATCAATATACTTTGCATTCACCCCAAACCTTAAATCCCTCGTAACCCTCTCTTTTGTCCCTTGTGAACGTAACTTTTCCAACCTCACACCGAGCTCGTGTGAATTTTTGCCACTGACGAGGGCTTTATATGCTTTTATATAGAAATAACATACCAACTTCTACAAATATTCAAGTAGCTATGTTCATCGATTAAATGAATCGTAGAGAGGGCAATTACGCTACAGCGAGTAGTTCACAAACAGACAGCTTTCTTCTTCACGGACAACGCAAAGTTTGGCACATTATCGCCTATTCTGGTGACTTTAGCGCACAATGAAATTACTGCAGCAAAATTTCAATACTGCTTTCCCGCGTTTGTATCTAGGAGAGAAATGAAGCAATGAGAGCAGTAGGTTGCGCTCATTTCGTGCACGATCGTCCGCTATCTTTTCGGCGGGTAGCGGGGCAATCAGTTGCGCTGCCAGCCGCCATGCTGACGTGCCCCGTCCCTTGCGGCACATTACTTTGATGTGGTAATATAACCGAAGACATAATTGTGAGCAAAACGTGCGTTCGGCGTAATTGGCAAAAGGCACGGTGGAGGGAGCGCGGTGTAAATACGAAGTTGGAGGGAAATTTCTGCAAGCGAGGTCGAAATTAACACGGAGGTGTTGGCGGTATTGTTTACGAAGTTTGCGAACGTTGACCCATAAATTCGACGACGTCAACGAGAGCGACGAAACTTCTCGAGAGGGCGAGACGGGAGAGGAGAATTAAGGAAAGGACGTAAGACACGGCGGTGCCAACGGAATGCTGCCAGCAGCTTCCGTTTAGTGGCTGCTCTCTATCCAGTTTACGGAGGAGAGAGAGAGTAAAGTAAATAAAAAAATAGAAGAAACGAACAAGTGTGATAACAAAAACCAAGAAACAGAAATAAATTTTTTTTAAAGAAACAAAAGTCATAGAACGAAGTGAAAAAAAAAGAGAGAAAGAAAAGCAATTTCTGAAACTACTAAACGTCTCTCTGAGACCTCTTCCAAGTAAGGGATGACATCTGATTTTAGCTGAATTGAAGATCTAGAAAATGACGTATGAACTACGAAATACAAGTCCTAAAAAACAGTACCCAAGGCTTAACAATACATTAATGATTCCAACAATTTCCGGGAAGGTTTCGAAAAGACTAGTGAAAAGTACTTATAGAACATTTTACGAGAAATTGCATGGTGCCAACAGGACAGCAATCAGACAAATAGTTTAGATGATAGAAGAGAAACAAAAAGGATCCTCAATTGAGAAAGTTAAAAATAAGCCCCTATTACGTAACAAATTTCGAAATTTATTAATTTTAGCTCTCCGTTTTGATATTAATTTTTTATTATATTAGCTATCAGTTTCTGTGTACAAATAGAATACTACGAGAAATTCGAGAGTCGATTTGTAACTTGAACAACTGAGGTTCATTTTGTTTCTCGTCTATCTCGAAACCTATTCGTCAATTTCTTTTAATGTGTTTTACTTGTATACAGAATTAGAGATAGCAGTGCTAAAATTAATATTTTTGTAAATTTGGAACGTAAGGGGGGATCGTTTTGTACATTGCACGATTGAAGTTGCTTTTGTTAATTGTCTACCTCGGAAACTATACGTCTTATTGGAGTTTCCTTTGCACCAATCAATTTCTTTTAATGTGTTTTACTTGTATACAGAATTAGAGAGAACAGTGCTGAAATTAATATTCTTCGAAACTTCGCACGTAAGGGGGGGTCGTTTTGTACTTTGCACGATTGAAGTTGCTTTTGTTTTTCGTCTATCTCGGAAACTATTCGTCTGATAATTTACTTTGCACCAATCAATTACATTTTATTTGATTTACTTGTAAACAGCATTAGAGATAGCAGTGCTGAAATTAATAATTTTCGAAATTTGGCACAAGAGAGGAGTTCGTTTTGTACTTTGCACAAATGAAGTTGCTTTTGTTTTTCGTCTATCTCGAAAACTATTCGTCTGATAGGAGTTTACTTTGCACCAATCAAATACATTTAATGTGTTTAACTTGTAAACAGAATTACAGATAGCAGTGCTGAAATTAATAAATTTCGAAATTTGGCATGTAAGGGGGGGTCATTTTGTACTTTGCACAATTGAGGTCGCTTTTGTTTTTCGTCTATCTCGGAAACTATTCGTCTGATTGGAGTTTGCTTTTCACCAATCAATTTCTTTTAATGTGTTTTACTTGTATATAGAATCAGAGTTAGCAGTGCTGAAAGTAATATTTTTCGAAATTTGGCACGTAAGGGGGGGGTAATTATACCACTTTGTTTTATATTTTCTGTATTAAATTGAAAGGTGCAAACGAGACTTCAATCCGACGAATATTTTAGGAGTTAGGCGAGAAACAAAATGGATCCTATATTGATCAAGTTTAAAATGCCCCCCCATTACGTGACAATTTTGGAAAAATAATAATGTTACCTCTGTGTTTTGATATTCTGTGTACTAATATATAATTTTAGGAGAAATTGAAAGGTGCAAACCTTTTGATTGTAGAAAAGGGAAATTACCAGAAGTGGATGAATTGTGATCTTTTAATGCTATTTATCGGAACGTATCAAGTTTATTCGTATTCGCGCAGACGTCAAACATCATTGTTCTGTTGTTCTTGTCTGGGAAAGCAATTTGTCATCAATATGAAAGTATAGAGAAGCAGATACAACAGTACATACTTTTTTATTTTTGGAAATAGTTACGTAATATTGAAATATTGTACTTTCTTCCATACTAAAAACTCAGTTAATAGTTGAGAATGTCAAATTCAACCAATTCAAGCGAAGCGCCTTCGGTGAATGCCTCGGTTTATTTTAGTTGCCAGGTGTAGAAATCATTTTTAACGTTAATAAACGAAACAAACATTAATAAATTCAAGTGCTACACTATTTGCAGCACATCATCTAGAAAAGTAAGAATAATTTTCTGGCACGCGATTGCAATACGAAGTAAGTTCGAGAAAGTAATTGGGAGCTGACGCTGACGAGGGAAGGCAAGGTAATGAAATAGGAGAGTTATACTAGGAGACATTTCAGGTTTTTTTCAGGAGAGAGGGCGGTGA